GGTAGCAACTATGTTCCAGGTACGGCATTTACAGCTAACTACAGCAATACTAATTTAATCTGATTAACTTAAATTTAAAGCAATACTCAAATTCAAAAGGATCGAAGGCAAAACAACACCGTACTTAAAACTTGCTACGTCCACACTTAGTCTGTTTCCCAACGGTTGTCTGACGAAACGAAAACTTAAATAACTCGATGCATCCAATCGACTAACAAAAATTAGTATGAACTCAAGCTCGTTACAGAATAACTGCGCTAAGCAGTTTAACTATTATTTAACTTCAATTTTACACTGATTACGCAGACTGCGCTATGCCTCAAATACTTCTACTCATGGTACGATACTTTTAAATAATGATCTGCAAGTAAAATCAATAGCATATTTGCCCTCGTTTAAACGTTTGATGATACGATTGATATCTCGTTGGATCGGTATAAGCTCCTGACAAGGTTTATTGTTGAAGATTTTGCTGATAACCATAGGAAAATTTTCGTAGAAAAATTTAGGTTAAAATTTTGTTGCACCATCTTTGTTTATTTCTCACCACGGTGATTGTTTTGAAGGATGATTTTGTTGTGACCAGCGATCAGCTGTATGGCAGTTATGACCGATCCCAAAGCACTGATTACCTTGATGAAGCGCGCTATTCCGAAACTGTCTTACGAACTTCACAAAGGGCAGTGCGGACGAATCGGGGTTTTGGGTGGTTCGGAAGAGTAAGCTTTAGAGTAATGGAAAGTACTTCCATTTTCGAACAGGAGTCGTTTGATTGTAGGTATACAGGGGCGCCGTATTTTGCCGGAATTTCGGCTTTGAAAACGGTAAAACGGATTTTTGTAGTCGCACTGATACATTGAACGTTGTTGACATTTTTTAGGGCGCCGATCTTGTGCACATCATATGCCCCCCTGAAGCCTCACTCGTCATTAAATCTTACAGCCCGGAGCTGATTGTGCATCCGATTGTGTAAGTATTTCTATCAAGAGAAGTTTCTTACAGAGTTCCTCATTTTAATGTATATGTAAAGATGAAAATTAGTGCACTTTTGGATGCATGCTTTTCGTCGCCTATTTTTATGAATGCGTGCCGTGGTAGGACGGTCTTTAAGAAATTTTCTTCGAACTCCAAATGTGCCGAGTTCGATTCCACTCGAGGGCATTCTCTGTCTTATACGCGAATTCCCTTGTATAAGTAATTTACTATGCAATGCTTCCGATCGGCGTTACTTAGTTGGCAAATTGTCGAACTCAGAAATGAGAGGTCCTAGGTTCAAGGCCCCCCCCCCCGCTTCATTCGCCTTGTTTCCTTCCGAGGTTGATAAATGAGTACAACTCTGTTGGAAGGAAACAAAAGACTACACGCTACTCTTGCCATAGAGCTGTAGACTCTGCCTTTAAAATAAGGCACTCCTGGTTGATAGTACAGAAATGGAGATGACCACCGCACCGTCTATTTCATGCAGAGAAGGGCGCCAAAATAGATCAGTCATGAAACTGAAGAAAGGCGCACATTTCAAGCGTGATATTCCGAGATTTATGTAAAAGCGTTGCCATCCATCCTACCAGTAAATGAGCAAGCTGCTTCGAAACACGGTAATTCGAGATGCTATCACTTGTGACGTACTCGTACTCCAGGTCAAGAAAATACAGTGGCGATAGTTAGGACGTCTAATAAGGTACAAAAAAGACAGTCGCCAGATGGACGCTCTTCAGAAAACCACATTACCTCTCAGCAGTCGCGTTACAGTTTCCCATGTTTTTCACATTGCCAAGATTCTATTTGTTTCCCGTAGATACTAGTTCTGTGGGAAGTAAAACTTTTTGAACCGTAAAAGCGTCGCCCCCTCCATGAAACCATTATTGTCATTCACGACGCGGAGAGCGGCCAAAGACTAAACCGATGGGCAGCGTCGTCATGCAGAGTATCGTCATTATCATTACCATTATTATTATCAGTCTTTTTCGATCCACTGGTGGATAAGCGCGTCTTCAAGACTTCACACTAGAGTTTTGTTTTTTGAAATTTTTCTCCACCTTGATCAGACGGATTTTTTCACCTCATGTGCCTTCGATCTCTAGGTGTTCCTGTGGTTCGTTTGCTGCCAGTTGGAACCTACAGTGTCAACGTTTGGTATCCATAGATTAGCAATGGGGTCGCGCATTGATTAAAATACTTTTCGTTTTAAGCATAAGGGCAGTTTACAGGATAAGAATATTTTCAATCTTCCAAAAGTGCTCCATGCCAGAAGCTTCAAGAAGCATAGAACCCGTGCGAAATATTATTGAATATATTCTCCTGAACCGCGAAACGATTGCCTAATGAAACAGTGGCGTAAGGGGTCTTTTTGATGTTTGGTCAGTTATGCAGTTCAAACGTTTGTTTTTGTTTTTGGGAGGTTACTGAATCCTTTGTGAATAGTTTGTGTTTAAGAAGGACACTCTAACTGTAAATCATGACGGAGGAATAGACGTACACTTTTCCTGTTTTATCGTCAGTTGCCATTTTCTAAGCAAACGGTGGACGATCTGATGAAGATTTCATCATGCTTTCCTAGAGATTAATAATGATCTTATCCCTTAGTCCTTTATACATAGCTTGTGGTCGATGCGTGCTGAAGATACATTCAAATTTTGCTAGCGCTCATTAGTATTACTTTGTTAGTCAACCGTTTCAGACGAGTTCATGACTGGTGTAGTTGCTACGGTAGTTGCTTTGAATTGTACATTCCATATCGACCCTAGAATTGCTGTGCGATTTGGATTTTGGTCATTGCCTGCTTTCTGGTACAAGGACTCTAGCGATGGATTATGGATAGCTCTGTCATGCGTATTTAGCAAATATACCTAGCAGCATATACTCTTCGAGTCAGAGTGAGCTACTGATAAGAAAAAGGGACAATGAAATGAAATGAACGTGCCGTCTGTCACGCCAGTTGGATGCCAAGATCGAAGGAATTCTGCGTGAAAGCGTTTGGAGATTTGTACCGTCATGCTGTCATCTCTCTAAGCGAAGGTTGACTTTTTTCATCGTATCATTAAAGGGTTAATGCAAACGTTGGCCTCTAAATTTTGGATATTCGTCTGTAGTCGTATATATTTTCCTCAGGCTAACTTTCAAAGCATGAGTTTATACCTTGTACTGATTTTTAGTCAACTACGGCGTGGCTAATGCGAATTGAGTCAGCAGGTGCACGTTTTGAACAGCGTGACCGTTTATCTCATCTCGCCCTGTTTGGCATAACCACATCGAAGCAC